CGCCGCATACCCTCCCACGCGCAAGCAGCGTGCGCACCGGACGGCGCTTGGTGTCGGACCGCGAGGCGATGCAGCAGCTCGCGGACTGTGTGGGCATGAGCGCGCGCAAGAAGGTGCTCGCGAGCGGGCGCAAGCCGCGCGTGCTGCCGTCCTTCTCGCGGGCCCCGGGGCGCCCGCCCGCGGTGAGCGTAACGTCCTTCTTGTCCTCGTCGCAGGGGCGGCTGCGCCCTGCGGTCGCGCTCCCTGCGACGGACACCGAGTCGGAGTCGGAGGGGCCGCCGAGCCCGAGCCCGAGCCCGCGCCCCGGGTCCGCGATGTCGCGCCGCAGCGCGACGCCGACGTTTAGCGGCGCGTACGTGCTCTCGCAGCGGAGCGTCTCGCTCAGCGTGCCGCGCGCCGGCCGCTCTGGCGAGGGCAGCACACTTCCGACGCCGACGTTCATGGCGAGCCCGACGTTCGAGGATACGACGTTCGACGCGCTGGAGGATAAGTATGCGGAGATGATGGATGATATTTCTATGCTGGAGGACCGGTTTTCGATGCTCGTTGGCCGCAGCCGGTGATGAAGGACGCGTGAGTGGTTTGTATTACTGTTACTGTATCCATGCCTGGCTCGCTCCGCTACATGATGTATCCAACAACCTCTATACTAGACGAATGATCTATCCACGAGGGATGTACTACTGCTTGTAGTTAGTCTAATGTTACAAACTTGTATCTCAAATCGGTCCCTTAGCCTTCATCAATATTTGGCTCGGAGTCGGGTAAAGTTCACGAACACAAGTGGTTGAATTATGTGTATCTAGTCGAAATGTGGTGCTCGTATGGTGCGATCTTGTCATTGAACTTGAACGTCAGGCGGCGAGCGGCGCATGTGACCCGCCCAGGTTGACCTCTTACCCCACCACACCCTCGCAGTCAAAGGCCGCCTCGCCCTATAACTCGAATGCCCTCGCCCACTGGCTCGAGTCCTTTCCCTATATGGCAGCTTCCTGGCAGCAATGCCCGGCCCACAGCACTCCAAGTCATTCTTGCAAGTTAGGAACGAGTCACTGAACACAATTTTTTCGACCCGGATCTCGGCATTCGGCAAACAACTGGCACTCATACGACTGCAAAACCTGGCTCTTATGTCTCAGCTCTGGTTCGAGCTATCATATCTTGCGCCTGTGCTCGTGGTTTTCAGCAACGTTACAAGTCCTTTCCCAGCTTTCTTGCGATCCTGCCTATATATCTATTCTATCCGCGCCTGAATTGGATCGTGCCGGGATCCTCAAGGTCGCGGTCTCGGCAGGAGAAAAATAGAACATCTACCGCTCGGAGAGTGGCTGGAGACTTTCCGACCCGGACGACGTTTTCTTGATGCAGGACTGAATCTCTTGCTGTGAACGGCCCGGAAGTAGGACCCCGCCGTAGCCGTACGGTATGGTCCTCCAGCTGATGCCGTATGAATATGGTCATGGTACGGTTCTGTTTGTTCGAAGTCACTGTGGCAGCTGCGAGGACATGGTGAATCGGTGCTGGAGGTAGGTCAGTGCAATTCAATACAGCATATATAGTGGATTCTTACCTATTCTTTACCCGTTTCTTCAGATCTCAATCCTTGTACATATACCAGGCTCCGTGAAGCTCCACCAAGGGATGATCTGAGAAAAATCTCAAGTCCAGCCTCAAAAAGTCACTCACTGCGCCAATCTTGACCTCAAAAAGCCGCTATCGGACAATGGTTGTATTGGTGCCCGCACTGACTCGGATTTAGACTAATACCGATTTTTTGGCTGCACTTCCTCAGCCTCCGCCTGTAATGCACTCTCCGTTGTGAGGGTCCATTTCATTTCCATGTCCGAGCTGGAACCACTCATTGATAGGTTTCGCCCCAGGTCCGCCTCGAAAAGTCACTCGACGGACAAGCCTCACCCAAACTCTTACCTGAAATAGCCACCTTTTGGTCAAGGAAATTCCAAAATTCCGCCCTCACAAAGCCACTTTCCCAGACCATCCTCCGGGGGAGCTTCACGGGGCCTCGAATATCATATTATGCCGTAAATCCGGGGCGTAAATACGGGGTGGAAAGCCGCACCGTGTGACTGAGACTGGCCCAACTCTTGATACGAGTTTCGTCCGTGCCCGTCATACCCGGAAGAGACACGTTGGGTCTGTATTTCAACCTCAGCCTAGTAATTGTGGCTCACAAATTCCCAAAGTCGATGCTGCGGGACTTCAACAGTTCAACCGTGGGTAAGAATCTGTAAGAATTCATTCAAGATGCTGATGCGATTAATGTCAGTTACTCAGCGACCGGCTTGGCGCACAATTGACGCATCCGAACACTATCCGAACTCATTCGTTTTACCCTTGCTGCGATTGGCTGCTGCGGAATTCGGGCCGAGGTCCAAGCGTAGCAAGCATCTCCCGCTTCTTTGGAACATGATGCCGGTCATGCCGAGTCTCTCTGAAGGTCAGAAACAGGCCCCTAAAATGCGCTTTGACCTCCCTTTTGCTGTGTAGCTTCACTCTGCATATCCCACAAGTCTCCCTCTCTGCTTTGTTCATTTTCTGCAACAAACGGCAACTTGGATCACTCTCGTTTGATGACGGCCCAACGCGTGTGGCAAGCGAGATAAGGAATGTAAAGATAAACAACTCTCTTTAACCCAGGTTTCCTTGCCCCTATGGCTGAAGAGGAGGAGGACTGGCAGGAGTACAAACTTGGCGGCTACCACCCCGTCTCCATCGGCGACGCTTTCTCCGACAATCGCTATGTCGTCGTACGGAAGCTCGGATGGGGCCATTTTTCCACTGTGTGGCTGGCACGCGACGTCAAGTGCGTCTTTCCCTCGTTACTGAGGAGGCAGGCCTCACATGTGTAGAATGCAGAGACATGTCGCGCTCAAAGTCGTCAAATCTGCTCCCCGCTATACCGAGACCGCGATAGATGAGATAAAGCTTCTCCAGCGCCTAGTGACATCTTCCGATCCCAACACATCGAATTCGCATCCCGGGAAGTCTCATGTTATATCGTTCCTCGACCACTTCAGACATAGCGGACCTAATGGCACGCATGTTTGCATGGTTTTTGAGGTCTTGGGCGAGAGCCTGCTGGGTTTAATCAAGCGCCACCAGGTTTGCCCTCCGAGCGTGTTCCGAAAGTCTACTGATACCGTTCTCCTGCTGCAGAATAAAGGCGTACCCATTCCGATAGTAAAGCAAATCGCCAAACAGGTCCTCACGGGCCTCGATTATATGCATCGCTGTTGCGATGTCATACACACTGGTGAGAGAGTCTCCCAGCCGCGCCTAGCCTTCCATTATGTGGCGCGTCGCAGACCTAAAGCCAGAAAACGTCCTCATCTATATCCCGGACGTCGAGTCTGTCATCCAGTCTGAACTGGCTCTCCAATCCACCTCCTCCGCCGCGCTATCGACCTCACCCCCTCCACCCCATCACATGCCAGCTCATCAGCCGACGATGCCTAAGCTCATTGGCGTGCCTGCGTCTACTGGGCGTGGGGGCAACCAGACCCCAGGGGCTCGCCACCAGGTCAACGTCAATATAACGGGGAGCCAGCCCCTACCCAGTTCGAGCCCCAGCGGAAGCTTTGTCAGCCTGTCTGCACTGAGCAGCAGCGCACGAGCGAAAGGCACGGGCGACAAATGGGGTCTAGGGATGGTCAAAATCTCCGACGAAGATACGAAGGGAAAGGGGAAGGGGACCGCTGTCGAGGAGGACCTAGGCATCGCTGCCCTGACGCTCTCCAAATCAGCGCCGGCATCTACGACCCCGATGCGCATGACCAATCCTCCGCCGCCTCCGCTGCGCACTCAGGACTCAGACCACGCGGGAAGCCGCGCGGGACAAAGTGAGAAGCTCGAGGGCGATGACGAGTGGGTGGAGGAGGTCGACGTTGAGGGCGACTACGAGATGATCACCGTGAAGATCGCGGATCTAGGAAATGGTCAGCAATCCCTCCATTCCCTAGCTAACTCTCCCCTGACCCATCTTCCTGCTCCTCAGCAACCTGGACAAATCATCATTTCACGAACGACATTCAGACTCGACAATACCGATGTCCAGAGGTCATCGTCGGCTCCACAGCTTGGGGGACAAGCGCGGACATATGGAGCGTCGCCTGCATGGTAAGTCCCTCAATAAATCCGTCTCGTCTGAGCGTCCCTCAACGCATCGCACACCGCCAGCTATTCGAGCTGATAACTGGCGGAGACTATCTCTTCGATCCAGCGCCAGCGCCGAAGGGCGCTGGCGGAAAACCTCGATATACCAAGGACGACGACCACATGGCGCAGATCATCGAGCTACTGGGGCCTCTTCCAGACCACGTCCGCAAGTCCGGGCGGTGGACTGGCGAGTTCTTCGATCCTTCAGGTAAGCTTAGCCGCACCGCCTTCTCATGCGCGGCGTCGGAATGACGCGCCTCGCAGGCAAACTCCTGCACATCCAGAATCTGCGCCCGTGGCCTCTATCAGCAGTCCTGCACGACAAGTACCTCTTCCCGCCGCTCGACGCGCAGGCGCTCGCGGAGTTCCTGCTGCCCATGTTAAAGTTGGATCCACAGGGGCGAATGAGCGCTGGCGAGCTGGTGCTGCATGAGTGGCTCGGGGATGTGCCTCATATAGAGCGCGAGTTTGAGCGCGGGCATGAAGAGGACGCGATGAAGCCCGTGGACGATAGTCCGAGCGAGGCGTCTTGACTCCTTGACCGCGCGCTGACTCGACTTCCCGAGCGGCAGGAATAGCACTTTGCCCTCCTCAGTCGGTCGCTCCCGACACGGTGGTGTATCCAGTAAACATAAACTATTAGAGCTGTGTATGCATGTACTCATACATGTATCTGTCGTGTCCTTATACGATAGGGAAACCTCTTGACTCGCCTGTTTCTTAAACGGACCGCGCCGGAATATACAATAATCTATTCACCTACCATGTGAATAATACATTGTGCTCTTCGGAAAGAGAAAAGAAGAGCACCGAGCAAAAAGAGTTGGACGCACAGGGGTTTGAACCCTGGACCGCATACAGATAGTCGGATTGATCGTTCGATTGCAAAGCATGAGTGATACCACTACACCATACGCCCATGAAAGTTGGGTTCTTAGCGTAGATAGTACCCACCGAACGCTTACTGACCATCATATTCAACTAGCTTCGAACTGATGTAAAGCTAGGCCACCTACCGGCGGAGCATCGCATGAAACCCGGCCTATAATTTACATGGCTAACCGGACTTGAACCGCATCTCCACGGATCATCAACCTATTTATTGACATCTACTGTCAAGTACGGGATTACTTAGGCGGGATTGGTGCGGCGGGCTGCCCTGCACCCGGCATCGCGTTATCTCAACGGGATGCTACGCTATCATCCGGTTTTGGAGCCAGCCCGCAACGTGCGTAGATTTGAAGTGCGCAGATCCAATTGTTGCACAGTTTGATCCAAAGTTCGAAATTTGATGATGTCCACTCAGTGTGCATCTTGCTTCCCCCCATCTCCCATTCCGCATACACGATGAGCGACCACTCGCACGAGAAAGTCCACGACAACGAAAAGGCTCCTGCCACGCAGAAGGACGCGGGCGGCGATGATAGCAGTGTCCAAGCCCTGCTCGACAAAGCCCATCTGGAGGGCATCAAGCCGGTTTTTCTCGCCAAGTACGTCCACAGTGCGGCGCTGGAAGCGCACAACTATCTGACTGCTTGCCCCTACAGAGTCAGAGTCCTGAACGAGGCCATTGCTGCTTCAGGGATGGGTCGGTACGCAGCGACTTTTTCTCTTGCCAAGTCCTGCCGGCTGAACCTGCAGCCCAGTTACCAGGTGGGTGCTCGTTTCACGCGTTTTGTGGAGCGCCCTCGCGCCGTCGGACCATCGGGTCATATAATCCGCGCTTCCGGCGCGCTACTCCCGCGATTTACATCTATTCTGTGATTGATTTGTATTGGTAGTGGGAGTTGTTTCTCAGTGCAGGTGCGTCCTTTTTTGTTGTTTCTTGTTGCCAAAAACGCGTTCTCAAATCTCTCTAGGTTTCGGGTGTGTACACAAACTCTCAAGCTTTGCTCGATATATGTACTCACCGGACTTTCTGGTTGCAGCTGGTTTGCCGATAGTAAGCGACGTTCGTTCTTCATCCCCATTGGTCGATGACGCGTGACCAGACATTTGGCTGCAAGCTATTGCCATTTTGATGCCTGCCATCGCCAACCAAGTACGCGATCTCAATTTCCCAGTTTCAACCAATGTTTATCCACAATTTTTATCCAGCACAATTTCCCCAACTATCTCAGCAACATTCGTATGGCGACTTTTGCACTCTACGTAGGCTTGATCCTGGGCGTAAGCTGATTTTACTTTTCCTCAGTTGAGAATATCTTGACGCATTTTACCTCCCAGGCGTCGTTCTGGGGTATGACATGCGATGTGATTGGCAGGCGCACGGCATGGAATGCGACTCTGTTTTTGTCCGGAGTATTTGGCGTCGCGTATGTGAATTGATCGATGTGGTTGAATTGGTCGATAACGCATTTTGACAGTGCGGGCGCCTCCCCCGACTTTTTAACACTATGTGGTGCGTTACGCGCACACAGTTGAATGATATGTACTAATGCTGTTTGCCTGTCAAGCCATGCTCGCATGCATCGGTATGTTCAGCCTCTCAAAATAAAGACCGCTTACTTAGTTGCACTCAGGGTTTGGTGTTGGCGGTAATCTCCCAGTCGACGGAGCTCTCTTCCTCGAGTTCCTCCCCGGGAAGGATCAGTACCTGCTTACCCTACTCTCTATCTGGTGGGCCATAGGCCAGGTCGTCGCGTCCCTTATTGCTTGGGTATTCTTGGCCAAGTAGGTCCAATATACGTCAAAAGGCGCCTTGCTAATGCGTTAACAAAGGTTCTCGTGCGACACAAGCTTGGTCGGTACCGCCCTCGCCGACGGAAGCGTTTATCGATGCGACAACACGAACAATAACGGATGGCGTTGTAAGCCCTCTTCGTTCGATAATGCATCGACATCTGACTGCGCCTCAGATTCCTATTATACCATGGGCGCGATGATGCTCTTCTTAGCCATCCTGCGAGTTTTCATCTTCCCCATGGACGAGTCCCCAAAGTTCCTCGTCAGTAAGTCGCCCCCTTTTACCTTAAGTGGATCTCCTCTCACGGTTCAATCTAGGCATTGGACGCGACCAGGACGCCGTCGATGTCATCCACCGCATCGCCAAAAGGAACAAAACAACTACGACGTTGTCTGTTCAAGACCTCTATGACGCGGCATCCCCGTACCTCGACCCTGCCGATGCCGCAAAGGGCATTGTCCCCGTCACGCGCTTCAGCACTTGGGGCCTCATCAAAAACAGCTTGTACGTTCCTGTCTCCGTGAAACTTTACATGCGAGTAAACCCTATTTTTCTAGCCACGATGTTAACGGCGAGAACATCAAGGGACTCTTCTGCACCCCGCGCTTGGCATATTCATCCGGTCTTATCATCTTCATATGTGAGGCGCTCTCTGTTGATTTATGGAGGATGTTCTAATGATGCCCGCTTCAGATGCTGCTGTCGGACTTGCATACCCTCTGTTCAACGCCTTCTTGTACGCCCTAGATTTTTCTTCTCGAGAATCATCTTTAACCTTTTCGGTTGAAGGGGAGCCTACCTGTCGAGCCGTGAATCGGATACAGGCGCGACCGGAATTGATGCCACATACTGTGAGTTGTACTTCGACCAAGTCAACCGCTGCCTCATTTCGATCTTCCAGCCGCATACACTTACCAGGCCGCATGCGGTGTCGGTGGATCGTTGCTCGCCGCCGTAATGGTGCAGTGGTCTCGCACCGGGCGCAAATTCTCCTTGGCGTCAGTCAGCGTTTCTCCTCGATAAGCCCGCGATCGCTCAACGTCCTGCTAGATTCTTCACCGTCATGTCCGGCGTCTTCCTCTTTGCCCTAACGTGAGTGCGCTCTTCCCATCGCGGCCCCTCCGCTAACGCAGGGTGAAGCGCCGCAACGACGTCGGTGCAGGTGAATGCCTTGGTGTCAATCGCAAGCTTCTGGCAGAACGCCTTCTACGGGGTACTTCGTCCCGTTTGCACCTGGAACTAGATCTGACGACGGGCTCTTCAGGTGTTGTACGGATATGCGCCAGAAGTCTTCCCGACCCCGCGTCGCGGCACAGGTGACGCTCTTGCCGCCTCCGCGAATCGGGTGACCGGGCTCTTCGCCCCAAGTCAGTGCGCTCAGAGACCCGCCGTTCGAATCTAACGCGCAGTTCTCAGTCATCGCGGTATACAGCAACGCCGGGAAGACCCCGAATGGGTAGGTCGATCAACCTGAATGCTGCGACATCTTTATTAATTCGGTTTCCATCTAGTCCGGTGTACGCCAGCGCGGGCATCTTCGTGTTCACGGGGCTCATCATGCTGGGTCTCCCCATCGAGACCGCCGGCGTCACTGCGTAACCGATTCATGCTCCCCGCAAGCGCGCAGAGGTTGATGTTTTTGATCTAGGTTGTGATTCCGACGCGGTGCTTGTCCCTGCTTGGTTCAATCCAAGACGCGAATCGCGCACGTGCCTCGAGTGTCGACTTAGTCGAGGTCCTTGACGCTTGCGCCTCTGCTGTCTGACGTTGAAAATCCCGTACATATGATACAGAAACCAAGGTTTCTGGCCGAAAATAATATTGGGTATTTTGACCTTCTCAAGTTCGACTTGCAACTTGGTTCTCGCAGACGCCTTAGTTTGAAATCGTCGGGATAGAGTTGGCTAGTATTGGTGGCTTTGATCGGGGTCGTTCTTAGGTCCTGACTTGTTCTTTCTGAACCCATGCTCGCGCAACTGGCCTCGTAAATTTTAGCAGAATTGACTGGAGCAACCAGCACAGGCTCCGCCTTCGTAGTTAATGCCACGAAAATAATGCCTCTGACGCATACTCAACTGCCATGTCGGTGATATCCCTGCGGTGAGTGCTTTGTTCAATTCTCGCAGCTTTTTTAACTGACGCATCTACGTGGTATGTATAAGCATCGAAAGCCGCCGGAATCATGGACTTGACTTACCTGCATCTCGTTGGCGAGGCAATCTACCTTTCTGGTACACCACCAGATGGCGAATGACTGTCCTGTGCACAACCCCCATATCTCTCCCCATTGAACAAAGAACGTGCCGTGAAACAGCGTCTGCATACGGAGTCTAGCAGCGTTATCCTGGAGGCTATTATGGTGGCACCAACGGCAGTGAGGTTGCCAGGAATTGATTTTGGCGAGGGCGTCATACCTCAGTAAACGAGCCGCGAGATCCACGTCGACTTGAGAGTCTTGAGTCAGGAGGTTCGCAAGCTGTGTGCCAAAAGCATCGACGTAAAAGCGTTCTATATCGTTCAACGTGGTATCGAGGGTTTTTATCAGACGCGATGGGAAAATGAGGGGGACGCTGAAGATGGCCGTGATAATTCCGCTGGCGATGGCGAGGATAAGGATCCCGTTAGGGAGGAGACCAGAGAGTGCAGACAGAAGGGAAACAGCGTTTTCCGACATCGCTGGGAACAACGCGAGCTGTCTCGAGAGTTCACTTTATATGAAGTCAACCAGGTGTTCTATTTGTAGGGTCAAGTCCTGCTTCAAAAAATGAGAGGATTGGTCCTCAACGGAACAACGAAAGTTGGCACCCGGAGCCAAGTAAGTAGCGTCTGAGGCTTCTCCTTACCCATCTTGCGAACACGCAGCACAAAGCTGTGCCCAGACAATGGTCTCATAAACTCGTCGCCCATTGTCCTCTGAGTAGATCAACTCTCGCCCGGGCCCATGAAAGCGAAAGAACCCCGCAATGCTGTCCGTAGATGTGCCTTGATCCATCAGCGAGGCGCTCTACAGCTTTTGGCAGCCATGGGATGCGGACAGAGATGATTGCCGCGTGCGTTTTTGGCTTATCGATTTAATTTTGGATAGATCCGCGACACAACATAGCCCGGGAGGGATGCTAGAACGAGAGAACAATGGTAGTGGGATTGCGACTGAGACCACTATCCTTGAAACGAGGCAAGACCTTGTTAGCTGTGCAAACCTCGCATGAGCCTAAACGTGTGGCAAGACACGC